CAAATGAGTCAAATTTTAAACAACAATAAATTATATACATTTTAAGCCCAAACAGATACTGACTTTGCTCATTTAAGTCTAAGCTTATTGCTATTTTATCAGCTCTTATTACTGCTTTAAGAAACTGTATTATACATATATATACTAACTAAATCTGTAATCTTCAAATATCACAGTCTTTCAAACTTAACTCATACCCTATCCTATACACATACATCATATTTCTCATTATAGAACACACTTATTAACTTTATTAAGTCATACAATATTTATATTATTTTTCATGAATTTACTGCTTATTAGAATAATTAGTATAATAATTTTGCAGACCAACTTGCATGCAGTCATAACAATTTGCTATATCGACCTTTATGTCTTACAATATTTATAAATTTGCATACATCTTAAACTTTAAAAACTTTCTTATAAAATTACCTATTTGTCATAGTATTTTTACAACATGTTATATATATATTTATGCATTATGGTTTATACAAAACTGTTTTTAAAAATAGCACAAAATCCTTAACCAAGTTAATTGGCAAGCTACTTGACTATATATCAACAACAATTAAAAATCTCAAACTTCTTATACAACTTTCAGTCTTTTACTCTAAATTCATTAGAATTAAAATACTAGACAATTTTCCTACTTTATACATTTTACATAAATAATATCACTTATACTCATCTATCTATTATTACTATCATCAAATCAGTTCTTATCTGCACTGAACAACTTGTTCATCTAATCAACTGCTATATAGTCTTATAAATATTTTATTACAATATACTTTAAACACTAAAACACTTAATACTACATTAAATACTATACCAAATCTGCACAACTAAATTAAGCTGTTAAATAGTATAACTATTTACAGTATATCAGATTTACCTTCAGTATTTTTAACTCTAACAGGTCTAATACAGTTCAGGATTTTTCCATATTTGGTATTTCCAAATATTGCAATGATCTGCATTGTACAACGATACAAAAATTTTCTAGAATCGTTGAATAGAACTAAACATGATTGGTTAAAAATTTTTCTTATAAGTGCTAGTTTAAAAATGAAAGAATGAAGTGAAAGTCTTAACTCAAGATCTCTAACTGGATCATAACAATCACACAAAATTACCTATTTTAATATTACTATATTTTGAAATAATAAGCCAACTTAATTTGTATAAATTAAGGCTTTAGAATGTATTGCTAGTCAGATTTTTAATCTTTAAAAATGGTTTTGGTTTTGAATGCTTACCAATAATAGTTTTTACGCCATTAAATTATATATTATTCAAAGTTATTTCTTTTTCTATTCAGCATTATGTGGTTAACCTATAATTTAAATATTTTATGTAGAGTGCAAAATTAGATTAATTACCATCGTGCTGTAGTGAGGTGGCATAAGTACTATAAAGTTCTTTGATAATTTATCATAATTTATAAATGTAATTTGTTTTAAACTATATTTTTCAAATTTGAAAAGCATTAGACGACTTCTTTTTACCTGAATCAGAAGATAACAATCTTGATTGACTCAATCAAACTTTCATTTTAAGATAAGATATATTCCAACTTTGTTATGCTCTTGGAACCAACTTTAACAGCATGCATTTAGAGAATTATAAGAAAAAAAATGCATTTATAGAGTCATAAATATATTTAGGTCCGAATTTGAGTATGAATTTAAGAGGATGTGCATTTATAGAAAATGCACTTATGGAGATTTCGCTATATATAACAGATTTGTTAAAAGCCGTTCATTTATTTGATATTGAAAGTAAGTAATATTCCAGTATTCGGCCATCAAGTAAACAATTATATGCATGAGAGTAAAAACCTAGAACTTTATTTAATAATTTACTATGATTGGTTACAGGTTTCACTCTCACGCACTTATTTTCTGTTCAAATGGTTGTAGAATTACAAAAAAAAATAATAACATGAAACTTTTATAAATGCACACCCTTTCTAAATGCACACTCAAATTTAGGCCAATATATATATATGACCTGTAAATGCACCTTTTCTTATAGTTCTCTAAGTGCATGCTGTTAAAGTTTGGTCCAAGAGTGTGTGCACTTATGATTTTACTATACTTAAAAGTGGAACGCAGAAACTTCATTGGGTAAAAGAATATTGAAATAGTTTTGAGACTGACGAAGTATGTCTAATTGTTAATCTGGTAAAGGTAGAAACCATAATTAATATAATCTTGTATCATTAATATTAATAATTTATTATTTATTTATTTTAATTTTCTAGCTCAATTTCATTTTCAAGTTCATCTTAATGTAAATTTCTAATATTATGTAGTATTTCTTTTAATTGATTATGAGTTTTTTGCTGTAATCCACAATACTTCGAACGATTTGGAATATTGATGGAATTTAGCAACGAATCGATAATTGTTAAAATTTCTTTTTTTGTTAAGTTTTCTTCATTCATAGCAGCAGCTTCTTCCTGGGCAGTAATAGGTATTGGTCGAGGTAAGAAATTTAGCTTGTTGGTTTTAAAAGTCTTATTAATAAGAATTATTCACCTTTCATATACCAAATTACTAAAATTTTTCAGTTGCTCACTAAGTAGATACTCCCCTCCAAGACTTTCAAATATGCGATTATCATCTTGAGGGTTCAAAAACCCGGTTCTCCATAGATGAACTCGAAATCTCTGGGATTCTAATGTATAATCTGAATGTATTCGACTGCCTGATGATTCATTATCCGTATGTTCAATCATATCAAACAATGCATAACACAGCTAATAATTATTTAAAAAATTGTAAGTATTTCTTTTTTTCTTTTTTTTTTAAATACAGATCTATTGTGTTAACCTTAATGAACTTTGTACAGTTACGTGCTGCTATTTTCCAATGCTTTTGCGAAGGTACAGGCAGAATTAAGGCTTTTAAAGATTTATTGATTTCTTCGAGAATGGCATCAAGGCCTTGATGCTGATTATTATATCCTGATCGTGAAATAACTGAATATAGTTCTATACACTGTTTAATCTCAGGATTTAATCACATCAATTGCTCTTCATAAGTTATTTCAATTAAACGGTACATAGGATATCTATGGCCAGACCATATTGGAGCAAACATACGTCTAGCCGCATTTATCAACAACGGTTAATTGTTTCTAACCCCTGTACGAAAATTAATGATTGCCTGTAGGTAGGTAAATGTCTATAATATTCATTAGCCAAAAAGTATTAGTTAATGCTTAATATCTCATGAAAATCTTACTTGTTCGAATTTTAATTTGTATGTGTGATCATTTTGTTTTTTTGCCCACTCTAGATAGTTATCAACTGAGGGATTTTCAGTTGTAACTATGTATGGCCATAATAATTCACATGTAACAGCATGTTGGTATATATTGCAAATAGAGTCTCATGATTTATGATGGTTGGCACATTTTTTAAAGAACCCAAGTTGATTTTCAGTTCTGTATCCTTAAAGAATGGCGAATTGTTTAATATCAATATTCTTTAAAATAAGTCGAATATTAGAATTTTTTAAAAAAAAAGATATTATCCGTATTAATTTAAAAGAAAAAAAATTAATACCAATTTAATTCTACGAATGCCTTAAGCATATTTATTTCTTCGTGCAAAGCTCCGGGAATCAATATAAGCCATGGAAAGTTCTTTCTAATTTTTTGAGCAAGAGTATAAGGAATGCTGTCACAAGTTACAGGTAGCCATCTTCATGCTCCTTGGCCTATTTTTGTGATGTTTTGTATATATTCTAAAACCTTTCTTACATTATTTATTAAATTAGGATTGAATTCTAATGTATCCAGTATATACATTTCAGGAACTATAATACTATCCTTGGGTTTCGATTTTTGTGTAAGACTAATACGATCAATATAAGAACTTTTTGGTTCGTGAGTATACGTATGAGACCTAATAACAAGAGATTTTGATTGAGTGTCTATATTATTAATCGGCATAAATTCATTAGCAGATTCTTCTTGTAAGGCAGCCAATGTGTCTAATTTTTCATTATATTGAGAACAATTGCATTTTTTATTATCAATATTTTTTGTATTACATTTTTTGCACCATTTAGACTGACGTCCGACACCTTTTTGATTTTTTATAGTTAGATCGATTGTATTGGCTTTTTCGTTTTTTTTTGCAATAAGTTCTTTTAAAATTGATGATAAGTATACTTTTAATTCTAGCTCATGGTCTGCTTGCATTTCAGGCGTAATATAATATAATTTTTCATACTGTTTATCCATTAGTGAATCGTAAAGCCAAGGTGTGATTGTAAATTGAGTGTAATCATTTTGATTTATATTTAATGCGACGAAACTTGTAACTATATGATAGATAACAGTATTATACTCGCGATCAAGATAATTATATTGACTGCGTTGTTCATTATCAAAGGCTAAAAATAAGAGCCCTTTAGGTAATGGTTCACTTTCGCTTACTAATGATTCTAATCAATTAATGAATTTTGTATAACCACCTGAACTAATTATATGGTTATCAATATCAATTATTGTTTTAGATCATGCTAGAGAATATTTGATTTCTGTTATTACTAGATTTATTTCTAATACATAGTTTTTGTGTCTCAATCCATAGATAGTGTCAATAGCAACCATTTTTTAAAAAATTTTTTATTTAAAGTATGATCGTTAATGCTATTACTATTATTATGAGTGAGAACATTAATAAAGTTAACAACGATGGGATTATGATTAGCTAACCAATTTTCAGGTGCGAAATTTAATAAATTATCAAGAGAAAATCGTTGCTTATTTAAAATCAAGGACTCTATATCATTATAGACATTCTGTCATTCTTTGTTTGCAATTTGAATTATGAAATCACTTCTTTTTTTTTGACTGTCATAATGATTTTCTCATTTATGTTTTAGTGTATTATTTTCTTTAGTTAGCTCTTTATTTATTTTTTCTATTTCTTGAACATGTTCCCAACTCTTGATTACATAATTGTATGCATACTCTAATTAATTTTTAAGATCTTCTATCTCACTTATTTTCGAATTTAATTGTAATCGAAGTAAATAAACTTGACTTTCAAGAGCATGCGACGTAATATCAGATACTTGAACGCCAATTTCACGGGTCTCATTAGTAATTTGTACACTGATCTTATTAGTTTGAATGCCAATTTTACAAGTATTTTTTTCTCCTATTTTATAAGCATGCTCCATATGAGCTTGTTTTTCAACCAATTCATTTTCAGAATCATCAAGTAATTGCCACTTTTGTTTATTTTGTTTATTAGATGATTGTGAATAATTTGCATTTAAAAGAACTTGTCATAAGAAATCAGATACAATAAGTTGGTTATAGTGTTTTTCATATAAAGAAAAATCTTCTAAATGTGTTTGAATTGCAATTAATTCAGGAAAAAAGCTATTATACAAAGGAAGACGACTTTTTGCTAATTTACTATCCACATGCCGAATTGTTTAAGACTCTTTATTTTCACATAGTAACAACCCAGAATCATCATGCAACAAAACCGAAGCAGCCAAAGTGCAAGGTAATTTATATGCTGGCTGTCATTAATGTCGTTGATGCTGATTGGATTTCACTAATAAAAAAATTAAAGTGATTATGAAAATGTCAGGTGAATTATAATGAAAAAGTCGAGTAAATTTATTACATACTTGTTTTTGACCAACTTTTTTATATAGCTTGTTTTTTGAAATTGGTACAATAATAATAAAAGATCGATTTTCAATATTCCTAATTAAACAAAACCTATGTAATAATGACTATTGGAATGTATATAATACTAGAATGATTATTATTACAAAAAAAAGCATATAACTAGTGGCTTTCAAAGAACAAAAAGTACTACTAATAATTAAAAAAAAAAATAAATTCTCTGTATTTTGCTAGTACAGATTTTATCATAAGAAAATATGGGGCTGGTAGTAGTGTAGGTGGTTGATTATTCGCTTTTCTAGGAACAAAAAAATGAAGTACTTCTAATATTAAAGAATTTTTAAATTCTTAGTAACCTCAACAAAAAAACCTATACCTTTATAGTAACTACAAGGTTACTTACTCTAGATTTCTATTTTCTAAGGATTCGCTATGTTACAATGACAATTGTTTAAATTTAGCATGTGAAAAACGGTAAAATCAGGTGAATGTGGTTGATATATTACCTTCTAAATATGGAAATATCATCTATATTTACTAAAAACCATGCTTGAAGACAACTTCTATGTACGTTAAATACTATCTCAAGCTGGATTTAAAAAAACAAAGTGAAGTACAGTCAGGCCTCCCTAAATGCATAGTCTATAAAAACATCTCTAAATGCATGATCTTGTTTTGCCCCAACCCATATAATACATATAAATTTTTACCTTTCTAAATGCAAGATTTTTTGATTTTTTTCATATAGGCCCCTCGGCTATGCATTTAGAGAGGTTTAACTGTATTACCTTCCCTTATGATCCAATATTATTCGAACTAAGATATAAAGAAGCCATCGTAATGCTTTCACAAAGTGCATCTCTGCTAATGTATTCTCTCCTTACGATCCTTACAATCTAAAGCTAGAACAGTGTTTTCACCAATGCTATTTTCCTTCTTCTAATCCGACCAAGACCAAAGAAGTTAGAGTAGTGTATTTGTAAGGTGCACCTGTTAATATATTTTCATCTTTTGGTCCAAGATTATTCTAAGATTCAAGGAAGTTAGCGTGGCATCCTGCTGTCCTTACAAAGTACCTTTATTAACTCGGTTACTTTTTCTGATCTGCATTTATGAGTATAATTCCAAGGCTTCTTTTTTTGATTCTAAATACTGCAGCGATTGTTCAAGAGAATTCAAGTCTCAATGTTCTGAGAAATTTGTCTCGATAAAATATTTGTATGCTTTTTCTTTCACATTCTCAAGAATATTACTAATATGTGACACCACTACATTACAAAGAACGTTTAGACATATAACATCTAATATTACAAAAGTATTTATAAAAAAAAAAAACCTTAAAGATCTACAATTTATACTCATTTCTATGCTAGCAAGACTTTCGAACCTTAATATGCAATGTCGCAAGGCTGTAATAAAAAAAAAAAGCAGTAATAAAAGTGTGAAAAGTTAGTAAACTAAAAAACTATAAACTTTAAATTGCCTTTTTTCAGGTCTCATTTACTTCATTAAAAAAAAATAATTACAATTGATTTTTTATTAATTATAAAACCTTGTATCTTCTACTTTTCACGTATACAATTCTTAGTATCGATAGATATCGTGAAATGTCTTAAATTTTTGGTTAAAAAGTATGGACTGTGAGCCAATAAAAATTTGTGAAATTTTATAGACTATTCTGGAATCAATTTTCAATGTTCTATAATAAGATCTGTTACACAAAATGCAATCTGCCAAATTTGGAAAAATTCCAGACTGTAATAACAAATGAACTTATTAACATTATTGCAACTTTGTTATCCAAAAAAATAGCTACAACACTTGTAATCAAATTTTTACTACATCTTAATCAACAAATCTATCACAAAATCTAAATTCTATATTATATCTTGAGATCTACAAACCAATCTTCTAAATATTACACAACTCCAAATACTGCTTTACTTTCATCACACTTTCTTCTATTCAATTCTATTAGTTTAAAAATAAAATTCTGTTAAATTCAATAAATTAAATATCAAACTAATTACTTATACATAATTATTAACACTTAAATCTAGATAGGTCTTGGCCACTTCAGTCAGTTTAGGTTGAAGATAAATTAGTCTAAGCTTTTATTCTTTCTATAATATTTTAAAAACAGAATTGTACTTTATATAAACTTTTAATTAAATATTCATTAAAGATAGAAACATGGTTTTACTATTAATATTAAAAAAAATTTTTATTTAAAGCAGTATCTTTTTATACTTTGTATTAACAAAAAAAATACAAATTAAAAATATATAACAAAAAAATAATTATAATTAATTATATAAAAGAAATTTAGATTAATGTTATTATAGTCTGATATAATTGTAATATGGTATCTTTGCTAGGAATTTTTTTTCTAAAAATAGATTTATTATAATTTTCCTAATTAAATTCTTGTGTAACAATGGCTCAAAGGGTGATTTTCCTAGCAAAGATCCCATATGATTATTTAAATAATTATAATAGTAGTAATAGTTAGCATTGTATATTTTACTAGTATCATATTTTGATAATTAATATATGTTTATATTCATTCTTTTATAATAAATTAAAATAATCAATTATTGTCAAATAAGCTAAGAAATCTGTACTAAAAAACTTTATATAATTTAGGATAATTATACAATTATTGATTAATAAATAAAAAAACTTTAATAAAAACATACTAATATTATAATATTATACTATAATTATTATATAATTATTGACCAAAAAGTAAAAAAAACTAATCAAAATTAATAATACTTATTTTTTTTTGTGTTAAAATGACAATCTTGTCTGTCTGTCTTTATTGAATAATATATCATTATTTTAATTATATACAAAGTTTATCAATAAAAGTACAACTAGTTATATGTATAACTTTAGTCATTATCTAATTAAAGATTCCACCCAAAGGTTACCTACTAGTTATCATATTTGAGATTTGATTGTGAATTCTCTATTTAAACTTTCTGATTTTCAATCCTATTGCATATATACAAATGTTACCACATGGACATACCAAGTTAGAGCTATCTAATTATTATTTATATTTAAGTACCACCTCATTGGATATTACTAAGTATCCATAGTTCTTTAAATTTACCCTCGATGCAGACTTACTAAGTATGGTACTAAGATTACCTCTTAGATTTATCTGATTTAGTGTATTCTGTATTCACTAAATCAGTTTTGGTTTCAGAAGTGTTCAAATTTCAGTAAGTCTATTACTTTCCTATAGTTTCCTTTTATGTTTATTATCTTACTTGCTAGTGTGCCTTCTCTTCATTTCTGGTATGTTCATCACTTCTCTTACATCAAATACTAATTCTCTATATCAGGAAACTTCTTTCTGAGAACTTCTTTATATACAGATCTTCTATTCACATGGATTTAAGCCATAGGGCTTTATGTTTATTCATATGCTTCTGTAGATTACAGAGTTTGCCTCTAGCTAGAATTGAACCATTGATCTTGTCTATAGAGAGAGAGACACCTAGACCATTAGACTATGGGACCCATCTCATTATCAATATTTATTAATACTATAATATTATAGTATAATTACTAAACTATTATTGATTGAAAACTCTAATTTTAGTAATTACTAAATTAAATCAAGATATATAAATTACCAATACTTAAAGAGTATTATTTTTGATTTAAATTTTATTAAATTTTATTTAATATATTAAAAATAATACTATTTATATCATGTGATAGTTAAAACTAGTTTTTTGAATTAGTTCTAAACTAGTTTCTAAAAAGTTTAGTTTAGACCCAGTCTACTGTTAATTAATTAAAAATTATTATTATATGCTAATCAGCCAATTAAATTTACAAATTTTAAAAGTACTATTAATATAAAATCAAATAAAATTTTTTGAATTTAAATTTATATTTTAATTTAAATAAATCTTAAATATTTTATAGTAAGGCAATTATATGTATCTTTATGTATTTAATTATCTAATTAACTTGTTTACAATGTATTATTTATTGCTTATAAAATATACTTTATTTTAGTTCTATATTCTAATTTAAAATCCAAATTTTTATTTATAATTTAGTTATTATTTTACTAGCATGTTTAATATATATACAGTATATATATATTTTAAATAATATCTAACTCAAATCTTAATATTTATATTTCTTATAATATTCTAAAAAATTATGTAATATAAAAAAATTATAAAATATTATATTATTATTTATAATTAATTAAAATAATTTTATATATTAATGCTAAGTATTAATACAGAGTATATATTCAGAAATGGCACTATAGAAACAAGAAGGAATGCAATGAAATGTTTCTTTGAATTCATCAACATTATATAATATTACTTAAGGCAGGTAAGGCAGATTTGATTTGACATAGGTCAAAGATGACCTTGAGAATATCATGAAGGATTCAAATTTTATGCTAAATAGTTAAGGAGCATATTGGTTTATTTTTATTTGTTTGTTTTATAATAATTTAAAACCTTTTTATTAATTAAAAATTTTGTTTATTTTTAGAACAGATTTTATAAATGATTTAGTTGTTCTATTACAAGATAATTATTGATTACAAGAGGGCAGAATGATATTCTACTATTAACAAAAAAGCAAATTTAAAATATTTTTATAGAACATTTTTAAGAGAAAAGAATGAACATTAAACATAGCTTTGATACAATTTTTCTTATTGTTATAAACTGTTTTTTAGTTATTTGTTAACACTTTTTCTTTTTTTTTACAATTCATCTGTTGTTATTTTAGAATTTTTTCTATTATCTTACAATGACATACAACTTAACATATGATGTCACATTGATATAGTCACAAACTTTATCTGTTAGTATAATATTATCTTGACAGTTGAATCCAAATAAAGCAAATGACTTTTTCTTTAATGGATCAGATGTCACTTAAAGAAGTGCTTGATTTGTCTTGGATCATAGGTATTATAATACAATAATTTTCATGATGCAAATCATAAGTTGTTATACATTCATTCTTCATAGTTCTAGGATCAGATTTATCTATAACAGTATATAATAAAAATATATTGCAATATTGCAAAATATATACTATACCTTTTTACAAATTATTGCTTTTGACTTTTTTTTTGTTTAATAAATATAATCTAAACAATATAATAATTTAACCTTTAGATATCTTTTGTATAAACTTTGTTAAATGAAATGTAATATAAAAGTTGTTGGATTCAAATAGATTCAACTGATATTATTGAAATATAGTACAAAAGCTTTAAAGATTGATTAGTATATTTTACATTTCATAGCAAAGATAGGTAACACAAACCCCAAAAGTTTAAAAAAATAGACAAAAATTTTTTTTATCAACTGTAATTGGCTGATCAATATGTGATGTTAAATTTTGATTGGCAGGGAGAGATCTGCAATTAGTGTAACCATGTACGTTCGCTCCTAGACCAGAGATGTATAAGCTAAACATCTCTGGCTAGAGATGCTTAGAATTTTCCTAAATACATATATAATGCGGGTTTAATCATTCAGGTAATAATGATTACATTTATTTACTTATTGCATACATTTATTCGCATATATAATCCGTAATAAAACCAGTAAGTGATTATATCTATAACAATTAACCCAATATAAATAGTTTAATCTGTAATTGATCACAGGCGAGAGTGATTCACTTTGAATCGGGCACTGTTTCTGCTGTTATCCGTAATTTGGTTATAACAGTGAAAAAAAAGAAAGAAAGAAAGAATTGGTCATATGGGAGCTTTGCTAACAAAATGACCCTCCGAGCAATTGTTACACAAGATTTTAATTAGGAAAATCATAATAAATCTATTTTTAGTAAAAAAAATTCATAGTGTCAGAGGTAAAACTGACACCCCATAGAACCTGCAAAATGGACGTCATTGTGGCATACTACCTAATTAGAGGTGCCCATGACGATCCATCCGAAACATGTGCTCCCGGCCCCAAAGAAGCCATATGAAAGTACACAAGCCTCCATGCGGGACCCCACCACCCCCTCCAATTAAAGTAAGGTCGACCTGGACCAACCTGTTGCGCTGGGAATGGACGTTGACTCCACCTGCCTTACTTGGGTTAGGTGTGAGGCGATGTCAAGGGGGGTGCGATTGAAGACAATATGATGGGTTCTGGCCCCTGGATCGTGAAACTGAAACATTTCTCATCGGTTCTATGAAAGCCGTGAGAAATGTTAAAGTAACGAAAGGCTGTGTGGAAGGGGTAAAGGTTATAACAAATAAGGTTGGGAACAATGAGAAGAGTCGTGGTCTTGTGCGGGCTCTTCTCGCGATCAATTCATTATAAAAAGGGTGGAATTTCCCCCTTCCAAGAGTTCAGTACAAGAGTATCGTCCAAGAGTCCAGTAGAATTAAGAACCGCCCCTAATAAAATAATAATATAATTGTATTGTCCCTACAAAATATTAATAAAGTTAATAAAGCCCTTTTAACTTGTAAAATAAACCAACGCTCTTTAAAATCGTAATACTCATCTTGTAACGCTCCTCATCGATCGCCTCGACCGGTGCCAAATCGTAAATCCGCCTCCATTATCCTTGAGGAACGTTACAAAATTTTTCCCATCATATGATATACAAAAATTCTTTAAGTTCGTTTATGTTAGGGTTATGGTCTATGTTTGGGTTATAATTTAAGAATTATATTAGTAGAACCGTTCAGAGAAAACTTTTTCCTACATAGATTTAGTGTTATAAGCGAATTTTGACAAAACGAATGTTTGTTTTGAATTTTCCTGATCGCGTAACGTTACACCAAATTGAGATTCATTATTGGCTTATTTTCGTAGATCATCACGTGGCGGTAAAAATTACATCGTAGTTCATTATCATTGAGTAAAAGCATTGCCTCGTGCACATCTGCCAGTTTGTGGCGCAGAAAAATTATTAATGTCCATTGATGTTAATATTTATATTAAGGTTAGGTGTTAACAAATTATGTAGAAAATTGCTCAATGAAAACTTTTTATTAAAGCGTTAAAAGTATTTTCTTTATGGATTTTTGAGAAATAGATAATTTTTGACAAAACAGACGTTTGTCTTAAATTTTCTGATTATTTACGCCTCAAACCACGTTTAAAATGTGCAATTTCTTAAATTCTCCCATTTATCACAAGTTCATAAAGGTTTGGCTTTTCTATAAATCACGCATATGTAAATATTCGTAACCAAATGCAAAGATGATCAAATGAATGCCGTAAAGTTAAACATGCAAATCTTATCTGCGGCACTCGAATAGATGATCGTAAATGGATCCGATTCCTTTATGATATCCGAGCTTGACAGTAGCAGATTGATTCAGATGTGTTTCTGTTCGATCTAGTATGCATCTATGTGTCATATAAGAGTAACAAAATTCGAAAATCATGAAATGTATGTAATCTGTAATTGATCTATGATTTGTTTTTTACAATACTTCTCCATTATGAAATTATATAGGTGGAGTCAAGAAAAATACATAAGTAAATTTAATTATGTATCATATATATTAAATATACCTGTAGTTAGGGTGGAGGCATAAACAAATTTAGCCATGTCCAATATGGGCATAAAATAAAGCTTGGGGGCATGCTTAGACATGCTTATAGACATATTTAATATTATTTATTTTTTAAAAACTTAAAATTTATAAATTATTTTATACATATATCTATATTTTATAGTACAAATATTTTAAACAAATTAAATTTCAAAAGTAAATACATATAATTTATCCGGAGTAAAGTGGAGAACACTAAATTATTTAGCATATGATACAAAGTTACGCTTTTGATGCATTTTGCTCAAAAAAGGTACCTTTTTGATGCACCAATATAAAAATTATAAAATTCATATCATAAATGCAATTTAGAAATTTTTTGTGTATCCGCATGCGAGCCTATATTTGTACTTTAGTGTAACACTAACATGCTTATTTCACATTTGTGTAGCATGCTGATCATTATGTATTAGGCTTCAAACATACAATGCTATGCATTATTTAATATAATATAACTATGTTAATGCATAGCATTGTGTGTTTGAAGCATATAATAATCATCAAATTGCACAAACATGTTTTTTGTTATACTAAAATACAAATATAGATATACATGCAGACAGACAAGAATTTTCAAAATTACATTTTTGATGCATTACTAATTATTTAATCAAAACATAACTATAGAACATAATATTTGTATTATTATGATTACATACAGAACAGAATATTTGTATTATTATGATTAAATACTAAATTTTTTTTGCTATATTTTGAATAATTGAAATTTTTTAAAACAAATATTTATAAAGCAATACTATTTGTATTTTCATTTTTGCTATTCAAATCTCACTCTTATATATATTTATTTTGGTTAATTTTTAAATTATATTGCATGTAATTATTATATATACAGTCAAATCTTTTTATAATAAACTGGTAGTTCTGAAAAAAAAAGTTCATTATAAAAAGTTACTATGTTTTCTTAAGGGTAATTGCATTTTCTATACCAAACTATTATAAAAATTTTTTAACTTTAAGTTTATTATATCTAAAGTTTATTATATAAAGATTTGTCATATCCAGTTTGATTTTATATATACAGTATATATTTTTTGTTTTTAGGGACATGCCATTTATTATGTAATTTTTTTAATTAAAGGCCTTGACTATCCATGTATGATGTGGTCATATTTAAATAAATAGTTAAAAATCAGAACAAAATTGGACCAAATCAGACCAAATTGAACCAAATCAGAGGTCAACTTCAATAAAATTATAGATACTTATAAAACCAAAATTTCAAAATTATATTGATATAAGAATATTGTAATTAGTAATTATATTAATACTGCAACTAATAATAATATATTGCAAAGTACCACTACATCAAATTATTAATAAGCAAATATGCAATCTATAACTCAAAAGACAATCAACAAATCATACAATACAATTTTATTACATTTTTATATTTAATATTGTTAATTTTATGAATTATCATTTATTTATAATAATTAGCTAGAATATATCAGAATTTTGGTTGGCTAGAATAAACTTGATTAATTTTATCTAAACTCAATCAATTTATTAAGTAAAATGCCTATCTAATAATATCAATCTAGGCTCCATTTGCTAATATTGGTTAATACTGGCTTAGCACTAATGAATTCCAATTCAGAATTTTGAAAATTGTTCTATAAAAAATAAATTTTGCTCAAATTCAAACTAACATTAACTTATACAAGAAAATTTTCAAAATTCTAGATCAAAATTTAGTAAATTCTAGTTGGCTGTATACATTTTTAAGCACTTCAATCAATAGAATAAAGATGAAATTTTAGCTAGTCTGAAATTAAATTAATGAATAAAATCTGGAGATGCAGATCATTTTTCATAGAATTGCATTTCACACAACAAATTTTTAATAAGTTGTTCTTTAATTATCCATATTAATTACTTAATTAACTGTAATAATTTGAGTAATCTATCAAGTACTAACTAATTGTACTAAGAGGCTGCTTAAGAACATTCTTGTATTAAGTAAAAATGTATATCTAATAATTTGCTACATACTTTGTTGGCTAGTATTACTTAATGCCAGCTTAGCTCAGTAAATCAATCTGAAGTTTATTACAGAGAAGTCTAAAATTTTCTAAGATAATATATATCTGTGCCTATTAAAAACAATGACATTTGGTTCTAAATTGATATTCTTGATTGCATAATAGATGTAAACTACTATTCACTAATGTTGAACATAGTTCATTAGCAATAGAAAAGTCTAAAAGTAGCTCTTGCAATAGTTAGATATACAAGCTAGTTCAAGCTAAGCCTCTGCAAAAATTACTCATGCAATTTTGGAATTTTTAAAGGTTATAAAAACAGTGTTTTACAAATAAAGCTCATTTGTCAAAAGTAAGTTTATCATACTAATTACACATATCAGTTTTGGATCAAGCACTAATAGTGAAACACTGTTTTTATAAGCTCCAAAAATTCTAAAATCATACAGGTAATTTTTGTGAAGGCCTAGTTCAAGCTAATAACATTTCTATTTTTATCAATCTTTATAAATTTTCAGATAAAAAGCCCTATATGTAATTTGCCATTAAAGAAAATTCTGTTAGAATAGTTTATTTATCAAAATCAGCCAATAATAGTGATACTAAAAGAAATGATTTTCATTTTATCATATTGTTATTAATATAAAAATTTAAAAAGATACACTTAGAATGGACCCAAGTTTTATGTATTTATTATAGAACTGAACTAACACAATATTAATTTTTACAATTGAAGATTTTAAACAACTTATCAAACATAAATTAAATATGAGTAATTATTATTCAAAAAAAGAACATATCTAATGTAGTTAGATGAAACTTAGTAACAATAAAAAAATAAATTAAGAGAAGAAAACAACTCTATTAAGATGACAAAAAAAGTTTAACAATATAACCAAAAGATGGTACTATGGATCTAGTAATAGGTAGACATATATAAGTATATATATATATACATATATATGCATGCCATCATCTATAAACTTAATAGTACATTTTGATATTATGTTTCAACTTTTTGGTCACTCAGATAAAGTAGTAATTCTACTTATCAAGAAATGTAATATCGAAAAAAATAGTAATTCCTAAATTTGAATTAATAAGACTTAAGATATCACAATTCAGACAAGTTTTTGTAATCATTATAATCTGCTATAATTCTAAAATACTCATATATAAAAAGAAACATATTATTTGTAATAAATAAGATTTCAAACACTATTTAAGATCAATAAAGTATCTTTGAAGCTGAGCCATCTTAAATAAATACAGAATTTTTTAAAACTTTCTAACTTTAATACACACTTATTTTATAAGTTACTATCTGATTTGTATTAAGAATTCATCAATGCTTATGCCTATTATAAGCAGGTAACCCTTTGCAACCCTATCTCCAATAAACAAAAATTATTAAGTGAAATCTGAACAGCATAGAAGAAAATAAAAAATGAAAATGAAACTGTAATTCATGAAAAAATTCAATCATACTTAATAACAGTTTCTAGTACAATTCATATATATTATATTTTTATTGTAAACAGCAACTCTAATATAACATCTACATTCATGTTAACATTATTCTCATTCACCTCAGTAATTTCATTACAGCTATTTGATAATAATACTAATATTATTGCAAAAAATGCAGTAGGTCAAAAAAATGTAATAGCTAAAATCAAAAAAGTAACTCAATGAATATCTGAATGTGAACAAGCAATTAAAAGTATTAATAATCAAAATATAAAAGATGGATTGTTAACCAAAATTAAAGAGGACTAAATAATTATTAAAGTAAGTGAAAAAAGGCTAGAAAAGCTTAAACATTATGCAGAAGCTCAAGCTAAACTTAGAGCAAAAAAAAAAACAACTAAATAATAAAAGTATTGTTAAACAGTATGACAAGCCTGAATGATTACCAGTGGCTATGTTAAATTTAGATTTTTGAAACAATATCCATAATTGTATAGAATTTGGACCACTCATACTAAAAAATAAAAAACAATAATTAAAGTTCATATCATTAAACATTTGTGTAAAGCATTAGAAGAAAAATATAATACTTATCTCTCATGTTAATGTTTGTTTACATATTTGAAACCTTAATACAAATATATGTTTACAGTCTGCTATTACCACCATCCTGCAAAAGCCAGTCTAGAATCAGTAACAAGAACTAATATGAAACTACATATCAATGAATACTATTGTTTGCATCTGTTAAAGCAGCTCAAGTTTTTGCGAAGGTATTTGCAAGTAATACTGTTGTTATCTCCTAAGATGACAAAGCTAAAATTGGTTTAGGTATTCTTGTAATAGGCCATATGTTTAAGGCTATGCAATTAGTAAATAAATCAGTTACTATTAAAAATAATAATTTTCCTAAAGAAAGTAAAATAAAACTTAGACCTTTAGTATATCTTCTTATTGACTCTAATGATTCAAATACTACACTTCACTTTAGACAACTCACTATTTTTATTAGGCCTGAATATTTTGTGAATATATCTTTTTTGATGCATATAGCTGATTTATTAAGTCTTGTTAACAACCAAGATTTTGATACTGTTTTATTAAAAGAAAATGAGGTTAGACCAGTATGGGTTCTTCTTGTTAATAAGGAGCCTAATGAGAATCTAAAACACTTTAAAAATATTATTGAATATTACAACTTATTCTGGACTCTAGATCTTAATTATTTAACTATCTGCACACATGCACTATATCAAAGTGCATATAATCCTGTAGAAAAGAGCATGGCTTCCTTATTAAAAAAACTTGCTAATATTACTTTGCCTATAGATAAATATAGTATGCATTTAGATTCTTAAAAAAAATTGTAAATGAAGAGTTAGCATGATATATTTTAAATTTTCAGAAAATAGGTTATATGAACTTTAAAATAGAGATAAAATATATAGTAAATCTGTAACAGTATATTATATTGATAAATTAGTCAACTATTTGGTAATATTGTATTCTTAACATAGAAATGGATTGAGCATTATGCTCAGTTATATTGATATTTATTGAATCTAAAAAAATGCAAGAATTGTCAGTATTGTTGTGAATACAGAGCTTCTGATACAGCACTTTTACTGGACCAAAATAATGAATTTCTTTCCCAATTGCTAAAAAAATAAATGAACATTTTATTGACCTTATATATGCTCTTTAATATTTTAACAAATTAAAGATACCATCATATAATCATTCATGCTTATCAATTTTGAAAAAATGTATCAGTGACTATGTTGCAACAAGCATAACAAGTATTACTCTACTTTGAAGTTTTTCACTAATTACAAACATCAGCAACATCTATCCAAACATGATCAACCTCAAAAGCAGGTTGATGCTGCTAGCTTGTTAAACTTTAAAGTTGCTAAAAATGTAGTTGTTTGTAATTTGTTGGATGAGATTTTAAATTCATATGATATACAATCTAATATTGAATAAGAATTAATAGATATTAGAATCTATAGTTAATATTAGTTTTTTAATTAAAGCTACTAAGTGTAGTTTTTTAAAGATATATATAAAAAAATAAATGAGCCTATTGGCTATAATCTAAATAACTTTCATCTTTATAATTTGTAACTTCATATATACATATTTATACATATGTATGTACATTAGAGTTAGCACTCGAAATGAAACCTACCCAAAACTAGTTTCAAAAGGCTCTAATCTGAAACTAGTTTTGGATTTTTGAAAAAAAACCTGAAACTCTGAAACTATAATCTGAAACTCTGAAACTATAATATAAAATTTTTAAAAATTATAAATTATAAAATAAATTTATTTTAAT